GCTGGGATGGTGTGAAATAGGCTCTCAATATTTTCCCGTCATGGAGGATTGCTTTTTGAGAATGCTGAATAGCTGGATTTCAGCAAAGGAAAATAAATAATATAATGTGAATCAGAGCGGCACCATGTTTGGTCCTTATAATCAGGCATTAATCAGTAGGTCTGGGTACTGAACATTGATACTGAATTGATTAAACAATAATTATTATCAAGAAAAGACTTGCCATTAAATACCACATTTTAATAAAAAAGCATAATACAAGTACAAATAAATATCAAAAGTATTTCATTATTGTTAGAGCCAATAAGCATGCAGCTGCTCTCTAAGGTTTTTACATTGTGGCGGCATGCAGGAAAAACAACGCTATACACATCCAGAGACTAGGCTCACATGTGTGTTTATTTAGCTAAAATAAAGATTTGTTACGTAGTTTATAATGTTTATTTGGGTTAAAATGGAGTTTATACATTTGGTATCAAAGTATTTAGGAGAAATTCCCAGCACTTTTGATTCGTAAGTGTGAGTACAATGAACACATTCTTATACCTGCATTACAAACTGCCACTTAAAAATAACCAGGATTAACAATGCATTTAATAAAAAGCTTATATCATTCAAAATATATTTCTTTTTTATTTCCATGCTCAAGTGAGATATTTTCATAATGTCTGTCCAATTCACCCGCTCAGAAAGATCAGCGGGAGGAAAACTGGTTGTGTGGGGGATGAGAGATCTCGTTCAATAGACACCAAGGTGTGTGTGTGTGTGTGTGTGTGTGTGTGTGTGTGTGTGTGTGTGTGTGTGTGTTGTGTGTGTGTGTGTGTGTGTGTGTGTGTGTGTGTGTGTGTGTGTGTCTGTGAGTGTGTATTTGTGCATCAGGATGCTGTTAATATAGCTCCACCATTATGTAGATTAGCCCTATTCCCCTGAGTGCAGCTTCGCCATTCAGACCTCTCAATCACCCCGCTGCTTTATGGGAGTCAGGGCACAAACACACACACACACACACACACACACACACACACACACACACACACACACACACACACACACACACACACACACAAAGAGATTTATGAACGTATGCACTTTCAATCAAAGTCTTTTATCGGCTTCATATACAATAGCATCATATATGTTGACACAAGCACAGACGAAATGTCCACACACTGACATGTACACACAAAAACACACACTGGAGACCAAGGTGACTGGCTGTATCCTCATGAGACTACAGGTCCATGGCTTCCTAATTATGCGCCTCTGCACTGCAGTTATTCATGATGTCCTGCTGTGTGTGAAAGAGCAGCTGAGTGATCGCACAGTGGGTTTGTGTGTTGATTGCATTTTAGCAGCAACAACAGTCCCCATTTTAATCACAAACTCGGGATCAATACTCTTGTCAGCTGAATTACGCAGCAGTGATGCTCTAAAGCAGGGGTCTCCAACACGTTGATCGCAAGCTACCGGTAGCTCGCAAGCCCTCAATATGGAGCTCGCCAAGAAAATTCAAAATGTAAAAAATACAGAAAAAAATTGGAAATGTAATCAAAAGAATCTACCCTATGCATAAAAGAAACCACAATCCTAGCGAACTCTATCTACTTACTACAACTCTATATCTATCTAACCCCCACCCCCCACAATGAATATCGACCAATCATGTTCTTGCTTGATTTGCGGGACCAGCGTTGCAGTCGGGAAGAAAAGCAATGCGGAGCGGCACCTCACCATTTCATAAGGAGTTTGACCTTTCCTTCTGGCAGAATCTGCACAACACATTACATGCCCCATTGAACACAGCCTAGTGATGCCAGCCTATACAACAGGGCAGAGTTTTACTATATATTTATTGCACTTGACGCACACACACGCATGGCGTAATTTCCACTGGGGAAGTTGGGGGACATGTCCCCTCAACTTTTCGAAATCCCGTTTGTGTCTCCCCACTTTATAAATATGTTTATTATTTTTTACGCAAGCCGTCATCGCCACGGAGGAGCACACAGCCTCTGTGAGCGAGCGAGCGAGACAGAGAGAGAAAGCGAGCGAGCTAGAGAGAGCACACCTTTATCTATTTAATATAGTTGTAAAAAAATTAATTAAGAAATCATTCCAATGTGTACTATAGGACAGTAAAAAAAAAATACTGTTTAAAAGGGGAGTGATTAGTCAAATATGCATAAATAGAAAGAAATAATGCTAACTGTAACATAAGATAAGAATAAACAAGTTTAAATGATTTGTTATTGGTTGTGATCATATTCTAAAGATGTTTGGATTATTGAAAGGTATACAGCTCCCTTTCATCTGAGTGTTGAGAGCTGTATCCATAAATTCATGTTGTGCTCAAAGTGCACCAGATTGATGCTTTTAACTTCAACATTTAAAAACAAATCTTCCCGGGGGAGCATGCCCCCTAGACTAGCGGATGTGAGGTCCACCCCCAAATAAAGCAGGTTAAAATAACTAAATTGCATACATTTTCTTTTAGTAAACAGAACACTGCTGTTTGGGTCCCACAGACCCAAACAGCACACAAAGGTTAAAGGTAAGCATATAATAATGTTAAAATGTGCTAAATACAAAAAAAAGGAGTAAAAGTAGCTCTCATCCTAAAAAAGGTTGGAGACCCCTGCTCTAAAGTGTACGTGTGTGTGCGCTTGCATGGGTTTGTGTGTTTTTTAAAAGGTAATCTAGATCACAGAGCCCAAAGCAGATGAAGAGAGACAGTCTTTGAGGAGATTTTGCTTTGAACTAACCTATGTTCTGGCTGCTTCTGTGTTTTTCAAGAGGCCTGCTCTCCTATGTGTGTGTGTGTGTGTGTGTGTGTGTGTGTGTGTGTGTGTGTGTGTGTGTGTGTGTGTGTGTGTGTGTGTGTGTGTGTGTGTGTGTGTGTGTGTGTGTGTGTGTGTGTGTGTGTGTGTGTGTGTGTGTGTGTGTGTGTGTGTGTGTGTGTGTGTGTGTGTGTGTGTGTGTGTGTGTGTGTGCGTGTGTTTTGTGCAAGCTCTACAAAATTGATATTGTACTTGATACAGTATGAGCCTGTGTGTACTGCTGATTATCTCTCTGTGTATCTTGCTGCTTTTACCCAACTCTGGTCACAACAGTCTGAGTTTCAGCTGTACTAGAATAACCTTCCACCATGTGTACAAAATAGGCAGCCTCAGGGTTTCCTGGGACATTGCTGCATTTAACGGCACAGCACACACACCTCAACATGAGTCCATCAAGCAAGCATCAACTTCCGACTAGCCCCTGTGAGCTCTATTTGTCTGCACCTCTACCTAAAAATTGTCATATCAACAGAAAACACCTGTTGGTTTCAATGATCGCTTAGCTTTGACCAATCATTGGAGCATGCATACAGTATGCAGAATATACACTAGTATATGCAACATTGAAACACGTTCAATCATACTTTAGAATGACATTGATCAAATCTGATTTTGTTTGAGTTGTTAGAGCTCTCAAAGATTATACATCAGGCAATTTTAGTCTCCAGTAAACACGTCACAACAGTACTTAGCTTTGATTGTTTTCTCAAACAATCACCAGTTTCCTTTCCCAGTCCGGCTCTATCTCCAAGCTAAAGAGTCTTACTGCTTGATTTAGAGTATGTGCCTTTGTCAGCTGTTTAAAAAAAAGAAAGAAACGGCTACTGTTTGCCTGTGACAGCTTCTAATATATTCAGTCTAAACACATTTAAGTGATGTACCTAAAACGCATTTCTAACATAATTGTTCTGTAAAAACGTAATGTTCACTTAAATTCTAATCATGCCCCACATTGCATTTAAATACTTAGGTTACATCTCTCCAAATAATCACGAGAACAGTGTTACAGCAGCTCAGCAGATGCATTTGTTTCATGTAATATGACATGACATTGTGTGGACACTGTAAGTGCATTTAGCTGCTGGCGAGCTTATTTTTTATAAATGGCTCGGAGGTTTGTCAGATTGATGGACTACATTAGGCAGTCCTATTCAACCTGCTGTTCAGCTTCATGCTAAATGTCCTGTCTCTACCAATGTCACCTCAGAGCTGTCAGCGGCACACGGGACGCATCCTGAATCAGATTGAACCTGTTGGGATGAATCTGTACACTGATTAAATGTATAAAGGTGTGGAGGGGGGGGGGATACATCTATTAAATATTCAATGCAATATAAATATAAAATACGTGTGACTATTATTTAAATGAGGCTATTGAAGGGGCTAATTTATTTATAATGTATTTTTTAAATGTATTTTACGGGAATGTATTGTTCCGTTTAAAAAAATATCATAGATCAAAAACTTCCCACAGTATTCCTTTGTCGCACACAATGACAGGATGAAAGTGAAACGAGGGAGGGTGAGGCAGTGAGACCCAGAGGAGGAGCAGAGAGAGAGAGAGAGAGAGAGAGAGAGAGAGAGAGAGGAGAGAGAGGAGAGAGAGAGAGAGAGAGGAGAGAGAGAGAGAGAGAGAGAGAGAGAGAGAGAGAGGAGGAGGGACTTTGTTCTCTCTATGTGCTTCAGCTCGTGGTGTTCGCGCCCCAGTGTGTGTCTCAGCCTACCGGGCGCGAGTGTGAGCATCAGTGCATCGCTGTGTGTATGTGTGAATGTGTGTGTGACTCCAGCGCTCTCTCTGCGTACGAAAGGTGGAGATGACATGACTGCGCTCGAGAGGAAGAAAGGAAAGGACCTGTAAGGACTCCACACACACACACACACACACACACACACACACACACACACACACACACACACACACACACACACACACACACACACGTAAACACTTTTACTCTTACATTCCCTCACACACACACCTTTCTAAATTCCTGAACTCCTCCCGTCAAGGAAAAGACAAGTTGTGTTGGAAGAGCATGTCTTGGAAACGACTCTGTTTCCAGCAGCTTATCGCTGAAACTGTAACGGCTGTCTCCATGTGTGCAAAGTGCTCAACACAAATACACACACAGGGTCCTGACTTTTTATTTGTGATGCCTGCAGACGCGGTCAGCAAGTGTTTCTGCGCCCTGAAGAGAGTTCAGCTCCAGCCCTGACTACCAGACAGTCCCCCACGCTGTCCGAACAACTCCAGGTAGGATACATTCTTTTATTTTCTCCTGCCCATGCTGTCCAAACACAGGATGCTATATGCTTCATGCCCTCTTTTTCTTCCTGTCATATTTATTATTATTAAAAAGCCCATAACTAAAGGTATACTGTTCTATATAGTCTCCCTATAAGCTATACTGCCCTGGTGTTATCTTCATGTACTTGTTTCAAAATAATTTTTTAAGGCGGAATATACATTTATGGGCTTTCTATCTTGTATTGTTACTCCTTTGATCTCCTTTCCTTTTCTTCTTTTTGTCACACACACACACACACACACACACACACACACACACACACACACACACACACACACACACACACACACACACACACACACTGTCCTCTGCATCTCCTTATTCTCTCAGCGTTTTTGTTTTTGGGAAACTGTTGCCTTACGGAGGTAAGTTTGAGCTCCTGTTACTGCAGCTCTCTGTTGATTGAGTATGGAACATAATTGTTTGCCTGGAGCGTGTGTGTGTGTGTGTGTGTGTGTGTGTGTGTGTGTGTGTGTGTGTGTGTGTGTGTGTGTGTGTGTGTGTGTGTGTGTGGCCTAGCATTACTATACTTGTGGGGACCTAAATCTGTTTACACAGTCACGTGTGGGGACTCGCCTCCCTTATGGGGACAAATTGGAGGTCCCCATAAGGGGAATCATTAATTTTAGGGTGAAGACTTGGTAAGGTTTAGGATTAGGGTTAGACATGTGTTGGTTATGGTTAAAGTTAGGATAAGTCTCCAGGAAATGCATGTAAGTCAATGTAATGTCCCCTGAAGTGATGTATACATGGTATGTGTGTGTGTGTGTGTGTGTGTGTGTGTGTGTGTGTGTGTGTGTGTGTGTGTGTGTGTGTGTGTGTGTGGTGACTCCGATAAAAGATGAGAAGATACGACATGAAACAGTAATAATCATAAAAAGGAGGAAATTAAAGACTGCCATTGTTGTTTAAATGGTGTATCAGGGTTTTTGCACACAGTCTCTATGTGGGTGTGTTTATTGTTACCTGAGTGTGTATTTGTGAGAGTGTTGATGCAATCTTGCTCTTGCAATCCCTGCCGAAGTTTGCCTAATTTTTTTGTCTACATCTACTGTAGTTGAGGTCTGTTTTGCTCCTTCTTTTATGATTGGTGACAACCAGATACTTACAATTTAAAAAGCTGCTGCTTTCCTGTGACGTTACATGTGCCCTCAAGCAGCATTAGTAAGAGTGTGTGTGTCTGTGTGCGTGTGTGTATTTGTTTGTACATAGTGTTTGCACAAGCATGTGTTGATGCGGGTGTGCATGTGTGTCTTCATTGCAGAGGGAATTAATGTTGTTGGCGGCAATATATTAAAAAAAAAGTTTGATTGGCTGCCAGTGTCGACATGTTCTGCTCAGATCCAATTACCTAGACATACACACTCACAGTAACGTGGGCAAACGTGCACACACAATGATGACACACAACCCAGCATGCACAAATTACTTTTTAATTGATGTCAGTGTGTTGCAGGGCAAAGATCAATTATATACATATAAACAATTGCACTTATTCAACCGTAATTCATTCTGACTAGTGTGTGTGTATGTGTGTGTGTGTGTATCTGTTCTTACAGTGCTAATGCACTTCTGAGTCAGCCCTCTACATACGCATTTCCGCAGTCAGTTTATGTTACTGAATGTCTTGTCCAACAGCATTCCTCTCTTAAAGCCTGGGTGTGTTTGTAAGTGGTTTGTTGCAGAAACGTCACACATACTGTAATACTTTCACGCTGCTAGTAGGCGTGCACCTTGTGCAGCGCCACCTTCAGGAGTTGCTTTAAAGAATTACATTTGTCTTGGTTTAAAATGTGTGTTAAGAGGAATATTTTCAATTTTATAAATGAATTGTATTGATCAGCAAGGTCTTACAGTTGTATCTCATGGGTTGCACAAAAAGGCTTTTGGTGACGTCAGGAGTCTTATCCTGTAATGTGACGGATTATGACAAAGAGTGCATCTGAATGTCCACGAAAACGTGTTAGTACAGAATGTGGAAGTGAAAGTGCTGTGTGTGTGTGTGTGTGTGTGTGTGTGTGTGTGTGTGTGTGTGTGTGTGTGTGTGTGTGTGTGTGTGTGTGTGTGTGTGTGTGTGTGGTGTGTGTGTGTGTGTGTGTGTGAGTGTGTGTGTTCACTGGTCCGTGTGAGCCAATGAGGCAGTAAAAGCTGCAGGTTAATCTCTTCTGAGTCTGAAACTGACCAGATGTGAGGATTACATCGACAGAGCATCGGGTTGGTGCTTGTGTGTTTGTGAGAGAGAGCCTGCCTAGTTTCACTAAAACTCAACAAAATGTATGTTTCTACAGTTCCTTATGTTATAAGCTCTCCTGTGCTGGATGTCAATGCAAAGTGTATTTTTAGCTTTATATTCCCCCATGCTGTTAAACTGAGCCTAAAATGATGCGTTGTCTGTGCAGTTTATGTAAGGCTCAACAAGTGTGTGCCTCTTTAAATGAAAAATCTGAAGACACACTTGGGGACAGGTGTGTTTATTCCTCCCCTCCTTCTGCTCCCTGACTATTATCTGTGTCTGTCATCCTCAACCCTTCAATATCAGGCTGCGCAGATGTCTCATTTAGGAATATTCTGGACTGAATATGGAAAACATTTTTTGGAATGTAACAAACACAATGTTATATTTTAATGTGAATGTGTGGTGTGGGTGTGTCCAGGAATGTCATCAAGTAGTGCCCCAGATATACTCACCTTAATGTCATGAAAGAGTTCCTATTGGATGGGATCAGCAACCTACTAAAGTCGGCACATGATTTTTCAGTTTTTGGGACAAAATGGGGGGGCTTTGTGCTAAAAACTAATTGATGGATTTGTAATTCGTACCAGACCATAACGAGTTGATGATATAATGATGCTAGGTCATTGCTTCACTTTAAGTCTGCACACAATCATACCAGTAAAAACAATTAATTGTATTTCTTGCTCTCCCAGACTGTGCATGTTTACCTTTTATCATGTTATGTAATCTGATATAGAGAGAGATGTGAGCAGTGTTCGTAGACCTGGTCTTCTACTTTCCGTCTTTTTAAAAATCATTTCATACCACATACTGAATAAGACATTTAGTAAAGAAGGATGAATAATAAGGTTATTTTGGCTCCTGGCAAACCTTAATTTAAAACCACCAAAAAGCAATAACAGGAAGAGATCAATTCGTCAACAACTCCATACTGCAATAAAACCAGGAAATCAATATCCCACAATGTTTTTGTAATACATCAGGAAATGCAACGACTTCCCCCTTAAGACCTGACATAGTCATTGCATCCTTATGTGAAACCTTTATCTTATTGTCTACTCTGCTTTCATCCTCAGTGTGAACACCAGCAGTGATATTTACAGCAGTAAGCAGCAAACACAAGAGCATGATATTCAGCACATTTAGTTAAGCACACACAGCAGTGCAGTGGGTGAGCACTCAATGCTTAAGATTGAAACAAATTATCTCCACAGGCAGCGCAGGACTAGTGACCTATGTAGGATATACAATGTGTGAAGTGGTGGATGAGCCACTATAGTGAAAATGGCTTGTGAATAATTTCACAGCACCCCATTACATGACCCTCAAAACGAGCAGAAGCAGTGGATGATACAGACACTGAAGTAGCAGTATGTAGCACAGCCTATTCTGTTCATATACGTAGCTGACAGCACAGCATGTCCCATCATCAGGCATCCCTTCCTGACTGGGGCTTCAACCAGAAGCTCTTTTACACTTCCCATTAGTGTTGAAGTGAATGGTAAAACTAGATGCCACACATGTAATTAAACCTTTGATAGACATAAAACCTTTTGAATTCAGCCCACCACTCTGACTTCTCCTTTAACGATAGCCTATGAGCTAAAAATACTTTTATTATATGATATGTTAGGAGGAACTGGAGTGTGCCCTGCTGACAGGAACCTGGTGCAATGTAGGGAACTTACTAATTCCTCACCATCTGCCTGCTTTATTCCAGCTAAACTTGGGAAGGTTGGGGAATTACAGTTTTATTTAATAACTTATTAAATGTTAACCTCTTTCTTTTGACCATTTGCATTCTTTAAATAGCTTGCACTGAGAGTTAATTCAAAATGTCCTTTACATGTTTTACTTGACCACTTCTAGAATGAGGTATCTTGAACCTGCCTGTTGAAAATCACATCAACTGTTTAACTTAACAATTGTAATAGTGTGTTGATTTTTCATTTAGAGTAAGTAAGTGATATCTTAAAAGATCACTTATCCTATCATTCGTATGCAGATGACACACAGCTCTATATCTTTCTCCCAATGACCTTAGCCAAATCAACATCCTCGTAAAAGGCATTGCAGACAAGATTATTGGATGGCAAGAAGACGTCTTCCATCTAATCATTAAAAAATGAAATGTTAATACGTTAGCCCATTAAATGTGTGTGAGTGAGCCTTGTGAGTCTATGTTAATGTAAGTGCATGTAGGTGATTTTATAAATAAATATTGTATGTTGTTGTTTTCCCCTTTATTCGTATACCTCTGTGTTGCATGTGGTGGATGTATTATTTTTGTATACCTCTTTCTTCCTTTTCATTTCCTTTGATATGTAAAATACGTTGAGATTCTCTATATGTATGTATATGATCTATAAATAAATAACTCGGTCATACTTGAAACCAAAAATCTATTAATGCAAGGATTTAAGTACAAAGTCTTTAAACAGAAGGAAAATATACAGGGCTCTGGCGAGCATACATACCAATGCAGAGTGACAGTACATAATTAAACTAAAACTATGTTGCTCTGCATGAAAGCAACATCAATACAACGCAACACAATCTCTTATGGAGTGCAATGCAATGCACACCGCAGTATTTACCACACAGTAGTATAGCATATGGAGCGCTCCAATACAGTACATTTATATCCATCAAGTGTGCTCCCCTCCTCTCAGTTTTATTGCATTGATCGCCAGTTTGAATTAAGCTACT